TTCTACAGTGAACCAGAATAATAATTTTGATCTTCTTGAAGCCTTACCATTTATTTCCTTTACAGGAAAGTAGTGTTGAACGAGATGACATCAAGGACCCTTTCACGGAGGTAACTGCGCAATCATTCTATCATTATCTTTTTCTTTGTACCGACACTTTTCTCGCAACAAATTTGTGTTTTTGATTTTTTTATTGCTGAAGAAAAAGTGGTGAATATTTCATTGGACCTAGACGATTTTTAAAATGTTGTCTCTCCTATTTGATAAGAGAAATTTGACATAAAGGAGAGAATTTTGGCTGAAAACCTCTTCTGTGCCATGATATAATTGGCCATACAGGTCTCGATGTTCAAGAAAAACTACGATCATTTAACAAAAGATACTTATTTCGGTATGTATAAAGAATCTACACGTGGCAATCCCAACTACTTTTTGACATATGGGAACGGGAAATCTGCTGCTCGGATACAAGATCATCTTCGGCCTAATGGTGCACACAGATGGCACAATTACATGAAAACTCCAAAGTATGTTATCACTGTTTTAGATAATTTTTTCCATATTTGATGGTCTTTCAACTCCTATATATTGTTACTTGCTTCTCAGATCCATGTGTCCATTTGCATAATTGTGCTTTGTCATTTATCTTCTTGGGGGCATGCTACAGTGTCTATTCTTTTACTCTCTTTATGAGATATAATTTTGTGGGATGATTGACAGTGAAGTGAAACTGGAAGAGGGTGCAGTCTTACATTACACATATGCCAAATTCTCTGACTTGACTTCTAGACGGGACCGATGTGGTTGCAAGCCTACAAAAGAGGATGTGAAACGATGCTTTATGTTGGAATTCGATAGATCTGTAAGTGTTGCATTCTTGAATTGTTTTATGCTAGTAATTTTCTTTGTAGTGGTCGCATTTGTGCTAGCAAGTGTGTTTGGATCAATGATAAATGAAGGGTGCAGTTAAAAATTGTCATGTGAATGTTTAAGGAACTTTTATGCGTGCATGTTCAGTTTTTTTTTGGGTGTTAAAAGGTCATCGATACAGTATCTTGACCCTTGAATGAAGTCTCTCTATGGTTTTAAAGATCTTATATGTATGTTGAGATCTACGCATGCAACGTACACTATTTTTAATTAATTGACTAGATAACCAATTGTCTCGGTGTTCATGAGGGAATCCATTAAAGAAATCTAAAATACATGATTGATGAAACTCATCCATCATAAAGTATTATGGTCCTATTCTATCTAGTCATAGGCAAGATTCATTGTTTGTATGGACCCTTTTGAAATGTAATGTACCGACTACCTACCCTTGTAAATGTGAAGAAAGCTTTCATCTTTCTTTAATCGTCTGAGGGTTCTGATAGGTCATATAGCTAGAGAATACTGACTTCCGAGAACTGAATTAGCATCGACCATGTTCTGAAGTTTTTTATTTCATATTTTCATTGTTCTTGTTTATTCTCTATATAATTTCATCACCATCTTCTTTAATGACAAAGGAGAAATCTTTATAGGATAGTAAATGAGAAATCTTCTCACGTTTAACCTTGATTGGTTCCCCTACTCATCGGTACTTGAATTCTCTTAGCTCACTCACTTAAAAAATGTGTGTTCAATTTGATCGGTCATTTAACTCATTCCTAATTCTTGTTTCTGGTCTCTATATTATTGCGCTTTTATTTAGAACTTTTAATAGAGCTTTTACTTTAGATATTTTACTAATGGGATTACCTGCATATTTGTCTATCCACTATTTTTTTTTCTTCAAGTCTTATGCCATGCTGACAAGTAAATATTTTTTCTTGCTTGCAGGCATTTATAATTGCTTCTACTGCAACAGAGGAAGAGATGCTAAACTGGTAACTCTCAAGTTTTAAATATTGTCCCTGTTGTCTCAATAAAATTGTTGCCCCTGCATACTAGTTTGGTGAATTTCATCATGAACCTAATTATTTTGATAGAACTGCTTATAGCTTTTACTTAGATGTACAAAATTCATAATTTAATTTCTTTGTTTTATTTGTTGAAAATTCTATTTGCTGCAACAGGTATCGGGAACGTGTTGTGTGGACTGATAAAACTCTCAATGTAAAATTGTTAAGGAAGGGAATCTTAACACGTATCTATGCTCCCATGGTAAAGCTTTTTTATCACCATTTTAGTGGAGAAGAAATCCACATCATAATAAGGTGGCATTCAAGTTTATGCCCCAATTTATTTATTTTACATTTTTAATCTTTTGTCCCTTGCTCGCATTTTTCAGACTATAATCCAAGGCCTAAGGGAATCTGGTACATTCGGGTCCATCATTGCTGCTGCTCAAGGCTCGTTGTCAAAGGACAAATTCTTAGCATCTGTTGAGAGCAGTAATTCCTCACGGTCACAAAAATCGAGAAAGTTAGGCATAAACTCGGAATCTCGATCAACGGTCAGAAGAATTCTGGAAATCGACTCTCCATTGCATGAACAAGCTGTGCCACCACTATCTCCGCCTGGCATTGATGGTGACCTCAAGATTGAAGCTTAACATTCTCCTTACGCGGCTTGCTGCTTTTTTCTTCCTTTGAGAAAAATGGCAAATGAGAGGAGAGTGCGTGGATTTTTATTTTTTATTTTTTTTCCTCTTTTTTGTGGTGAGTTGTAGAATTAGGGAAAGATTTGAGCAGGCATGCATGCGAGTAGGAGTGTGAAGAATTGTGTTTCGATCTTAAGGCTTTTTCCCGATCATTTACCCAAGCGGAAGTGTATATTATGATGATTTTGGACAAGAAAGAGGGAAGGAAGGAAAGAAAGCTGTGGGAACTGAGACATTTCAGCTCCACAGTCTCTGTTGTGTTTTAGAGATGTTGATAGAAAATCAAGGGATTTATTTCTTTTGTTGTATAGTACATCTTGTGGTAAATGTTATACGAGCCCTGATGCTTGCTCGTCGATTGTTGTGCCCACAATCTGTTTTTGTTGTGCCCACAATCTGTTAGGCCTTATCTCTATTGATGGCATTTTAAAGATGATACAGGGGTTTACTTTACATGCTGTGTGACTGTCACAAAGTTAGTTTGGTTTACTTTCATTGGAGTCGTATGACTTAACTTATTGGTATGTCAGGCGGTTAGGCGGCGTCTAGGCGGACCTAGGCTCTCCTAGGCGGGCTCGGCGTCAGTTTTTCAATTTTTTTTTTATTTTTTTGTTTTTTTAAATATTAATTACATTATTTTGTTCTCATGTTTTCTTTAATATATATTAATATTATTATTTGGACTTTGGTGTGTGAATTTATTATAAGTTGAGATAATTTTATTTTGTATGTAGTTAAAATAAATAAAAAAATAAGGTATTTAATATTGATTTATGGGTCTCGACTAGACGCTCTAGGCGCACGCAGGTCAAACGCCTAGCGACTTTTAGAACACTGCACTAACCGCATCATATTTCATTAATTATCACTATTTAGTATTTACATTTATAGTATATGCTAAGATATTATTATTCATGGTATATTTAAGCAACCGGATGTTTTCAAGGGCCAACTTGTATACATACTAATAAGTTTGCTGGCCGAGCTTTTAACTTGTCCAATGCAAGTAGAGAAAATGAGATGATTTTTGGTGATCGTGACTTGGACAATACCAAACTATACCTAAATGAAACCTAGATTCAATCCCTAGCCAGTGCCTAAGAAGCATATGCTGGTATCCACCTTCAGTGAGGTTGACATATCCTATCTGATACTCCGACACTTGAGCTATTTTTTTTTTTTACAGGTATTGATTATTGAATTTTATACATTTCTTATGGCCCTTATATATTTTATGTGATCATTAATATCATTTAAGTTTTGTACAATTGAACAATTATATTATTAGTTCTTATTTAATAACAAAAATATTATCTTTTATGCTATAAACATATAATTTTATAGAAAGTGTAAAGATATTGTCGTCTCAGTGTCTATAAAATGTTAAAATATATTGTATCCTCGTACTAATATTGTATCGTATTCGTATCTCGTATTTATATTTGTAATTGTACCTATATTCCTGCTTCATAGGACTCAGTGCTAATAATGGGTCCCAGTTATGCAAAGTATTTTTAGTTAATCGTATGAATGTAAACGAGTCAAGCTGAGTTTGATTCCTTAATGAGCATTTAATTAAGTTTGGCTCATTTAGCAATATTAACGAGCTGAGCTCGAGCCTTAACACACCGAAATCTAGCTATAACAAGCCGAATCATAGAAAATTATATAAGAAAAATATCTTTTTGAGCCTTATTGAGCCAAACCAAGCTTGGATCGTTAACTAAACGAGGTTTGAATGAGCTCGAGTTCGGCTAGTCTAGTTTGATAAACAAACCGAGTGGAGCCTGAGTCGAGTTGAGCCAAACTCACGAACGACTCGTTTCATTTAGCAGCTCTACAACATGAGTATTGCATTCTGGAGTGACAAAAATGTTTGAAAAAATTCAATAACAGTAAATACATAGAATTATAATGATTGCTCATAGTCGGGTGCCTAAAAATCGAACAGCAAAAGGGCATTCAAAGCCATAATTATAATCATGAAACATTACAGTCAATTTAAGCAAAAGTAAAGGTAATACATGAACCATATATTTTTTTTTTTTTAAACAAAAATTACAACCTAATTAAAGAATATATAAAATTTGGTATTTCGTAATTCTATCTATCAATTTTGTACTGTGTTGTAATCTAAGTTGTCCTATATATCAATCTATATATATATATATAATAAGAGTTAACATTTTTAAAAAATAGTAAGTCAAATTTTGGTCAAAATTCCATCTGCATTAATTACTTGCCACTTTTGGCAACTTTTTTTTTTTATTTTCTTACAAAAAAATCGGGCAGCATTAAATGTTGCCCTTATATGTGGAATTTGTTCATTCACAAAAGATTTGAACACATTTTACATATTAAGACCCTTATTTCAAATTAAATTTTAAAATATAGTCAAAATTTATATAACCGACTAAGATTTGTAACATTTTTTTAAAACAATTAGAGATTCAAACAGAAAATGAGACTTCATTTCCGTTATTCATTTTTTTCGACAGAATAAATTCGAATTTTGACCGAAAATTGAAAAATTCTTTCAGATCCGTCCATTAAACTTACGAAATTTCTAAAATCTACTAAAAAAAAGCAATATGAATCAAAATAATTGAACAACAAATTACATAAGTCTCGATATTAAAAAGAAAAAGCTTTTGAAATGGTCGAAATAGTAATAACAGAGTCAGCCTTTCATCGATTTCGACCAAAAAACAAACATAAAATCTTAGAACACACAAAAAAATATAACAATCAAAAGAAATAAAATAATAGAGGCATCTTTCTAAACATAAAGACAAGATATAATATCGATCTATCTAACATAAGAAATCGACTCGCAATAGATGTGATTGATAGTTTAAAAAATAGAGCATTTTTGTAAAAATTTGAAAGAATATTTTATCAAGTTTCTAGAAATGATATAAGAGAGAGAATAGAGAAGGAAAGCGGTGGGAGGAGGAGAAGAAATGACATAATCTTAATAGTTTGGATATTTTTAACTTTTTTAGATGGCATCTTTGATTTCTGACCGTTAGATATCGGTTGACTAATTCAAACCGTCTGATCCATTCCTTTAAGCCATAACGGGTTGAGATGTTGGGTCGCACTTAATGGTTCGGTCTGCTTTCATGGTTGGGCTTTATTTGGGTCCATTCAATAATATGTTATCGGGCCGTTAAGTTTGACCCGACCAGTTTAGTTGAGTATATTATATTGTGGAACATAATTGGGCTTCATTTTTTTTTTAAAAAAAAAAATAGACAGGCTTCGCTATATAAAAATAAATAAATATATAAATTCCATAAATAATTACAGTCGTGCATAGCACGGATTACTCAGTGTAATAATAATAATAATTATAATAATAATTTTTGAAACCCTGCGTACTCAAATTTTCACACGTGACATAATAATTCTCTTTTAAAAAGGCATCAATAGTGGTTCCTCACTTACGTGACTCGAACTCGAAACCTATTTATAATTGTTATTTAATATTGTTTACCCGTGCATCGCACGGGGGTACGCACTAGTTTGTGATGATCCAAGTTAGATAATATCGATATCAACTTTTATTCATACTTATTAGACATTTTAAAATTATAACACTTGTTTAACTTAACTTATAAATATATTTTAAATATAATATATTTGTTATTTATTTTTCATATGAGATATATTAAAGTAATTATCTTAATTGAACAAAAATAAATTCATTATTTATCAATCAAATAAATTTATCATTTAAGCCTCTTATATGGCATGAGTTACAAACTTATATAATAGAACAAATGAATTTTGAAGTGACAAGTATAATCTTAAATAAAATAAAAATTCCTTTTTCATGCACTACTAAACTTTTTAAATAAAAAACCTATTTTTATTTTTACTTATCAAATTTTTTTAAGTTAAATTTCTTAATAATTAACACCTGAGGCTGCAAACGAACCAAGCAGAGCGAGCGCTCGAGTCAAAGCTTGGTTCAAGCTCGAGGTTGACTGAACTCGAGCCAAGCTCGAGCTGCCCAATCATGTTATAGAGTCGATCTCGAGATATGTAGCCCTAAATTAACACCCATTACAATTGTTGTAACGCTAAAAATACAAATCAATCATTCATCTCATTATTTGGTCATTAACTAGCCACCATCTCCAATATTCCCAATTCAATTCGACAAAAACAAGCTACATTTGCAATCCAAGAACAGTAATTGCGAAGTACTTACAATACGGAAATCCAGAGCATAATAAAGGATACATAATACTTGCCACTTATTTTCAGTTATCAAGCTTGCACCTGCTTCTAAGCAGCTGACTGCAACAACTAATTAGAAGCATAAGCTGCAAGTCCTCAAAATATATATTATCATGATTGTCAATAAACATTACCAAGGTCCAGATATTCGAATATTTATCCGCAATAACTATTATTGAAGTGAGAAAGCCCACCAAGTGTCCAGCTACATTATTCTTCGAAAGAAGTCGCCACACCAAGGAAGACTTCAACAAATGCACTGTGTAGTAAGATACTAATAACCGATCCTTCTTTAATATTCGAAGGCTCCTGGGTCACAAGGCAGATCAAACAGAAGTCATGCTTCTAACGCCTGAAAACTAATGAATTAACAAGAATGTAACTTCTCTTCCACAATAACATAAATATCCATCCAGACACAAAAATATCTCAATCATTTTGCTATTACATGATCATTTTTCTCCCGTGAGACCAAGGGCTTGCAAATGGTTGAAAGGAAATGATTTCCACATAAAAGCTAAGAATGATTTTCTTCGGTGTTAATAGACACTCCCCTTAAGTTGCTCGCAAATTGTAACGTTAAGATTAAATCAACTACTCTTCCCTGAATTTAAGAAGTCCGGCCAAGTTGTGCTCAACATTCATAAAATAAAATAAAATACAAGCCATATATGCTACACCACAAATTTAGAAAGGGAAAGACTAAAACGAAGAATTTAATCATACCTTTTCTGCAGTTGAACAAAACACTCGCACAATGCTAATCCTCATACAAGTTGAGTAAAAAAGGTGATGAACTCCTCAAAACCATCATGCTTTCGTCTTCCAGAACCACCTCACACAAATCACTTAGTACATCATACCAAAACTAATAGCCAGAACATATAAAGACGGAATAAACAGTTTGAGACGTGTCAAAATAGCGAATTTCTACTACTTGCGGTATAAAATAACCAACTCTGTAAAAAAGAAATATCGTCCTAAAATTGGCAGTCATCTCCAGGTGTCACCATGGTACCTAGAGCTCTTATATTTCGACCCGTGTTGCTGAAAACCTTCCCTCTTCTTGCACCCACCTGCTCTGTAACTTTGAGAATTACCAAAATAACCCGACTCTTTAACATTGTCCCTCCACTCTCTCCCAGTTGAGCCTGTATAAAACTCATCTTTATTATTATTATACCCAGAAAAACCATTAGAATTCCAACGACCCCAACCCAACGAGTCATTTCCACTCTGACCATAGTTACCAAAGGTGGATGACTTCTCAGCACTCTTTTGCCGACCCCAAGACTCGTCCCCGCTTTTCCAAACACTTTCCTTCAAAGAATCGACAGGCTGGCTGCAATTTTGCTCCCAAGGGTTTTTATTTCTTGAATTTACAGAATCATCCCATCTGGACCATCCCTGCACAGCATCTTTTGAACTTCCGGTGCCTTGCACTTGGTCCCTTTCCCATGGGTTGTCAACAGTGGACTGAGTTCTATCATGTTGTGGTTCGACCTCTTCATTAATTGTCTCCAATTTATCAGGATCACAATATTGACGGTCAAGATCTGCCATTAGTTCAGGATCAAGATGTGGGTCCCAGTCAATTTTGTCAATGTATGTATCTGGGTCGGGTAAAGGGGTGTCACAGGGAATGCCATTGATCATGGCCCAATAACGTCGTTTTGCATTCTGTAATGCTTCTTCACCAGAGGACGCATCCCAATACTGCACGTTTGGGTAGCAGACAATATATCTTTTGGATGCCAATATTTTGTTCCAAGGGACTTTCGCCGACTTGCAATATTCGATTTCCCATGATGGTACCCTGTTGTCCTTGGATCCTTTGGTAAGAAAAATGATAAATAGGCAGCAATGATTTTAAATTTATATGAAGAATAAAAAAAATATCAAAATTAATAATGTGGACGTTTATAGATAACAAATATGCTCCACCATGAAGTAGGAAAACACAGGATGCAACATAAAACTATGTGTATTTAATCATTATGGATGTATAATAACCAATATGAGGCAGCTGATTATTTGGCATTACTGTTAGAAAAAAAAATCCTTCTTTTTATAAATCAGATAACTGTTAATCATGGTGGCTCAGTGAAATTATACGTCGATAACCTAACTGCAATAACAAAATATTTTTTAGACCCTCTACTTGAAATCCTTGTAAAAAAAACATATAGATAAGTTTCTAAGATTCAAATTTAGAAGTTGAAACTTTTTATATCAAACTTTTCAACTAAAGACTTGCCACATTACACCAGGATAATCCTGTTAGAGGTAGAAAGTTAAGAAATGAAGAAAAAGGAAGTCTGCCTATAAGAGCTGAACATTCGTCTAGCTCTAATGTAACATGTCCTAGGTTTTTTGCAGATAATCTATCACACAAGCAAAACACCAAATTGACATTCTCAGGCAATTACTATGTCATTGACATATAATTAAGATCTTCAAAACATTTTCTCCTTGAAATTGAATGAGTTCTTTCTTTTCAAAAGAGCATCCAATACAGCCATAAAGCTAATGGTTNCAACACAACTTCCAGGAGAACATAAAGAGACTGAAAAAACAACACTGGACTATTCAAAGAACGACTTTTACTATTACCCATTAGCAAGGAACGTTTAGCACTAAAAGACAAAACCTTTTGTTCAAGCTCTTGATTCCATCTTACACCAAAATAATGTCATCAAGTGATAGTTCATCAAATTAGGAACTTATAACAACCTTCACAACTCACACTCAAACACACTCACCAATAGAGCATTTTATTTTGAATCTTGCTTGTAATTCAGAAACAAATAAATGAAAAACCCAAGAAAATGCACAATGGATCGCAGCACTAATTAACAGAGAAGAAAGAGTGATGCATTTTCCTTCAATTCTTGCTCTAGTTTTCAACTCAGCCCGCAATAACTACTCATTCATAAACATTCAGAAATAATCGCGGTCGAGTAGAAAAAACGTAAAAATCAGACGCAATCGAAGTAAAGATGTCCATACCAGAAGAATGCGAGTAATTGTTTCCAAGGGGCCTTGGGGGAGATAAAGAAGGATCCTCAAATTCGTCTTGTCTGAACTTCCTTCGCGGCAAATATCTGCGGTTCCAATTCCCCATTGCAATTCGAGACTACAGAGAAGTAAACGAGAGCAAATATACTGACAAAGATATTGAGTATTAATAAAGCATCATCTGCAAAGCAATGGGGTTTGGTAAACAAAACCTAGAAACTTCCCCTGTTTGGCCCTGACTATTCTGCTCAGAGTTCGATGAGCAATATGGTCGGATTACCCTTTTTCAACCTTTTTAATTATGAGATCTGAAAGGCCGAGAAACGGCTTGCCTATATTGACTATACCCGATTTTTACAGAAATCACGGTTGGCCTCTTTCCTTGGGTTTGCATCACTTGGGCTTGGGATAACTGCCAACTCGTGATTAATTGGGACACTATCCCATGTAAGGGCTAGTTTGTTTTGAATCCATTATTCATGGGATTAATTGATCCGTGTCGTTTGGGATGAATAGTCCAATCCCAAATTTATTGAAGAGATCATGAAAACGGGAACATCCATCCAGAGATGGCCACGTGACGCCGAGCCCACTGACTCGAACTGGACCCGGCACGATCAGACCCGTGGTCAACTAGTTTGGGCCCGGCCCGAATTTTAACTGGGCCGAATCAGGGTCGACTATTTTGAAGATTTGACCCGTCTAGCTGGGTCGGCCCAAGAAAAAAACAATGGTTTTCATTTTTTTATTATTTTTTTAGGGCGAGCTTGGGATTCGAGTTGGGCCCGAACCGGCCTGTACCTAGGTAAGAGTCGGTTCATGATTGTTGTTTTCGAGCCCAGAGCCTTGTCGGGCCGTGCTAGGATTTGGCCATGTCTATATCCATCTGATCCTTTTCTATTGTTCTTCTTTTAAAAGATCACCTTTTGTTTATGTCTAATTTCCCTTACTAAATTAAGGGCAGTTTATTGATCACTTTTTGTTTATGTCTAATTTGCCTTACTTTATTAAGGGCAGTTTATTGAGAAAAATATTAGGGCCATTTGAGCAGGTCTTTCTTGCTAAATTATGCACGTATCGGACGAAGAGGGTTGAGCGCAGTGGCGCATACCTCGCTCGGCGTATTTCACATCCCGAGTCCGAGTTATCTGGAGGGGAATTGGGGAACCAGTATTAATCCTTCTTTATAAAGAAAAAAAAAATTATGGACGTATCGACTATGGAGAAAGACAATATCTAGTATCTTTTAGAGGAGCGCCATAATGGATATTTATTTATGTATAAAAAAATTATATTGTATATTTATCCGGAGCAAATTTAAATTTTCAAATATGAAAAATGGGAAATTTTTAGGTATTCTACGTGATTTTAAATTAATTGCAATTCTACTATACAAGAAAAAATAATTGTGTCTCTACCTAAAAGACCTTATTTATCTATATTAATGTCTAAAGTCAGTTACCATATCCTTTCAACCTCCATCCTCATGTTTATGCGTTTGATTAAGAGAGAAAAATGAAAACATGCATATAATAAATAACTGACCCATTTAATTCCTTAATTCGCGCAACTTATACGCTTTTAATAGAGAGATAAAAACATGTATTATAATTCACGCAGCTGTCCAGGTGGATATATATTATGTTTATGTTATTAATATATATTCAGTATATGTTGCAATGAAAAACATATCTTCCATAAAAAAATATGTCTTCTTTTTTTTTTTTTTAAAATCAGGTTTTGAATATTTTGTAGTATATGTTGCGTTTGCGTTTTTTCTTTTTTTTTTGTAAAATTTGCAGCTACAACGAAGTATATGTTGAGTATAAAAGTCAGTATAAATTTTCATGTCTTCAATGAGCAGTATATATTGAGTTTATATTTAGTATATGTTGTTGTCCCAGCTGGAGAAAGCATAGGGGAGGTGAGATGGAGGCGGCGAGACGGCAGCGGCGTCCACAAAACAACCAAAGGAGGCATCTCTTCACCGATCTAAATTTCTGCCCGACAATGGGTTAGGAAAAGGATGAAGGAAAAGAATCAATGAATTATGGGAAAATCTAACAAAAAATATTGTTACGATTATTAGGTGGGGGCTTTGAAACCTGTCGAAGCCGGAGCCCCTATCCAACTACCCTAAACTCTCTCACTCACCCAATGTCCCGATCCCGACAACTTGATCGTCTGATCAAAGCCCCAGCAAAAATACACCCGCAAACGGACCGCCGGCGAGTCGATGTCTTCTATCAACTCCGTCGTCGACCTGACACCATTACTGGGGGACCATGTACTTTGCCCCATGCCTGCCCCTCAGAAGAAGATAATGTTCAGAACAAATAAGGGAAAATTAAAGAATTGGGGTTAAAAAAAAAGCTAGAATGAGAGGAGATTGGGCACAGAGAAAATGTGGGAAACCTAACGGCGAATAGGGTTTGTGAAATTTGAGGCTATGATAGAGAAAGTGAACGAAGGCCTGAGGATGATATTAGGTATATTTGTAATATTTTGTGGTTAGTTTAGTTATTTTATAAATAAGAATATAATGGGTGTATAAGTGTAATATAAATCATATCTGATGGTAATGGGTGTAATTTCTTCAAATTAAATTGTCCAAAAAGTACAATCCCTTACGATGGGCTAAAATCAATCGTACCCTATCCTTTAAAGCAAATGAACTCAGGGGATATGATGGGATTTATAGATTTATGGATTTATCGAAGATTATCTAACATTTTTTTATGTAATTGCGACTCGCGTGGTAGGATAAAGCTCGAGGATCAGATCTCCAGAAATCTAGCATTGATGGGCTAAACAAATCCTGAACAATAGGTCAATTCAGATAATCCTAAATTGAGTTTTGATGCAATTGTTAGGGTATACTTTAGAAGCTCGACTTTGTGTTACCAACAATTCCATTTTAAATGAGATTCATGTTTTAGACAAGTGTATGTTTGTTGTTTATTTATTTATGTGAACATAATTCTTTTATTTTGTAGATAATAAGATTTGATGTGTCGAATAGAAAGATCATATTATTGGTGTCTTGTAAAATATAAATTATTAGGTCACAACCTAGATAGAATTGAACTAACTGTCGTGGACGATTGTTGTATGATCTTGAATTAGTTGATCTTTGACTAATGAGTTGTACTAATCCATCTCAGATGTATTGAAAGGATCACAGAGGATAAAATTATTTTATATCAACCAAACAAATTATCTAGATCTCAGTCTTTGTTGCGTTCTCTTAACCCGTAAAGTAATAAACGAGCATATGTATTTAATTATTATCTATTACTATATAATAGCAATAAAAAAAGTACAAAAATAGCATTACAATTTCCTGCTTAAAAATTCATTTTTTTACTAATAATGGATTTTTCACAAACAAATTTAAATAATCTTGTAAAATTGTATTTTGTGTACATAACAATATGCCAATTGAAATCGTTGAATCTAATAAATATGATAAAATAAAAAAGAATTCTCTAAATGTTAATTTTAAAATAGAAAGTTATTTTTTGTGTATATAACATATATGCTAATCCAAATAAATGATTCTATAAATCAATGATTCTCATAAATCTGCTAAAATAAAAAAGAATCCTCCATAAATGACAATTCCTACATCGGCTGACTAATTATCTACATAATCTTTGTCTACCAAACAACTATCAACGTAAATAAAGAAAATTGGGAATTTACTGAAATAAACATAAACCGAAAGCCTAATTTTATGGAAACTATACATTAATGATTTTTTTTATTTAAACCTATGTTATATAGATTTCCATTTATAATAGGTAATTAATGTTTTTGGCAAGAAAAGTTTTCTAAAAATAAATTAACTTTATTCTTATTTTATATATAGATTGTTATTATTGTTATATATATATATATATATATATATTATTATTATCACACTTTTTTTATAAAACAACACTCAACTATTACTACATTATTTTGTAACTTTATTGTTCATTTTACTTAAATATTGCTATCATCTTGACAGAGAAATTTAAAAGCATCTTATCTTTGCTAAAAAAATAAATTTCATCTTATCTTTGCTAAAACATGAAAAAAAAACTTTGCCAAGTCCCATATTTATCAGCATAACACCAATTCACACTTCAAAGCACAAATCACCATCCTCAAGATTTAAGCATTAAGCAGAGCACCTTATACTAATTCTGCTCCTGAAAGATACATATGGCGGCCACCTTTTCTTGACTTCCAGCACCCACAATACTTTGGGTCTCTTTTTGTATATGTGACAAATAAATAGGCATTAGAGCATCCACAATGCTTTGGGTTCAATCTCAAAAAATTACATGCCACATAAGAAATAGACCCAGTCTAAAAAAATATATTCTCCAATGCAAATAAAAGTAGACTGGGTCCTGCTGATGTGGCAGCCAGAAAAAGAGACCCGGTCTCCCCTTAAGTCTATTTTAGACCCACGTAGAAACCTAATCTCTTTGCATTGGAGTGGATTTTATTAATTTTACATAGTTTTATCCATGTCATCTAAGACTTGAGTTTATTTACTTGCCACATAGGCAAGACTAGACCCAATGCATTGAAGATGCTCTAAGTTTATAAAGACACGGACAAACCTAAGCTAAAAAATCCAAAATCTATCCAATGCAAAAAAAAAGTACTAGGTCTAAAATACCTAACAACCAATAAAAATATAATAACAGTAAATGATTGCTGATTGTACAGGTTCACACATGGGTCCAAAATAGACCCAAGAGTGGACTTGGTCTCTTTTTTTTATTGCTACATAAGCTAGACTATGTACACTATTAATTGCATTGTGAAACACTTTTTTATAGACTAGGTCTATTTGCTACATGGCATGTGATTTTTTTTAAGAGACCCAAAGCATTGTGGGTGCTCTTATAAATTGCTCCCCGAGAAAAGCATCAACAGATTTAATGCGATACATATGGTTGTCACCACATTTTTCTGGAAAGTATCAAATTTAAAGGTAACAAACGCCATAATTTAAGGGTAGCATTTTGTGGGAAAAAAATATAATTAGTCTGAATTGTCAAAAAAATACTATATTTAGCATATAATTAATGCATAATGGCAGGAAAAAGTTACTAAAAATAATTTAAGTTAATTCTTATTATATATATATATATATATATATTAAAACGACGATTTTTAAATTAAAGAAAATAAAACAAATTTACCTTTTAAGAATTCTATCTATTGTTAACAATCTAATCTCCTTTTTATCTAACAACTTATTTAAACAATTTTAAAATATTAAAATTCTTAATCATCAAAATTTTTTTTTTTATAAATTATGATTTTCAGATTAAAGAAATTCTTATTACATGTGCAATCAATAAAACAAAAATTGTTTGAGGAATAAAAAAGGGTTTACACTATCTATCGAAATATATTGTCCTTATTTATCATACCAACTTAATTTGTT